TACAACCAATTTACGACTCGAATGCAAAATGGTGTTTTTTGTTAATTTTGGCTCTCTGAACATGAGTATGATGATAAAAACTTTATAACACGTAAGATTAAGTTATGATTTTTTCAAAAAAAAATTATTTTTTTAAGAAAGAATTTTAATAAAAAAAATTTTAAAGTCATTTGTAATATATCGGATCGAAATGTTATCAAAATAACGTTTTTCCTCAAAATTGTGCATAATTTGACAACACTGGGATGTCTAAATTCTACGAATAACACACTATTTGACTTGTCCAAAGAACATGCTGAACTTTTAGGTTCTCGATTACAACAATGAAATTTACTAGTTAGTGGAACCAAAGTTACAATATTTAGCAACCTTAACCAGGAGCTATCCTCGTTTTTTACTATGCAGGATAAAATGTGTGTTTGTGTTAATCCAAATTGTGTTATGGAAAAATTAGGATTTACACATAACACAGAACAATGGCGTTTGTTTATAGATTCTTCTAAATCAAGTCTAAAAGCAGTTCTGCTCCATAACCACAACAAAAGACCATCTATTCTTCTTGCGCATGCAGTTGATATGCAAGTATGTCGCTGATCATAAATGCAGTAAGCTATGATACATATAAGTGGCAAATATGTGGTGACTTAAAAGTCATCGGATTATTACTAGGTCTTCAGGGAGGATTTACAAAATGTTGCTGTTTTTTTTTGTCTTTGGGACAGTAGAGCAACACAGGGTCATTAACAAGTTAAAGAAAGGTCACCAAGAGATCAGTACATTCCAGGTCAAGCTAACGTAAAGAATATACCTCTCGTTGATCCCAAAAACGTTTTTTGGATCAACGAGAAAGAAAAAAAATTTGGAAAAAAAAAGGAGATGCGTTTAAATACCTTAAACAAATTTTTCCTAAGCTAAGTGACAAGAAGCTTAAAGAAGGGATAGTTATTGGACCACAAATCAGAAAAATACTGAGAGATCAACAGTTTGATGAAAAATTAAGTGATGTTGAGTTAGCTGCGTGGATTTCTTTCAAAAGAATTGTTTTCGAGCTTTTGGGAAACAAAAAAACAGAAAATTACCAAAATGTTGTAGAACTACTTAAAATTACTGCAAAATAGGCTGTCGCATGTCTCTAAAAATACACTTTCTGCACTCCCATTTAAATTTTTTTCCGAAAAATTTGGGTGCGGTCAGCGACGAGCAAGGAGAAAGGTTCCACCAGGATATTCTCACAATGGAGCAACGCTAACAAAGAAGATGGAATGCAGCAATGATGGGAGATTACTTTTGGTTCCTTATGAGAGAAAATGATACAGAATATAATACGAAATAAATAATACCAATTATTCATCATTTAAGTAGCCTTATTTTCCATTCAAAATAATAACACAATCATCCCATATCTCTAAGTTTCATTAAAAAATAAATTAAAAAAAATATATTAAATTTTTCCGCCATACAAATCCACCCGTCCAACTAATTATTAAATGACCCCGTAGAAGTTTATAATTGTCTCAAACCTTGGAATTTGTTGAACATATGGCCCTTAAAAATTTTCGGTATTGCGTCACGTCGTTTGCATAGATTGCAATGGATTGCAATAAATCAGTGTTTTGTTTATCTTCATTGGAGAACCATCTCTAAATGAAGCCAAATGTTCGTTTAAATTTTTTTAAATCTTCGTATCTGAGAATATGAATATTATTTTTTGCAAAGTTTGTGTGTTCTTTGTGTATGTTTTTTTTAAGTTTCTAAATAATGAGTAAACTTCAGTACATATAATAATAACATCTTTAATATACTACATATTGAGTTGTAAGTTATAAACTATTAGATCTGTATTTCTTATAAACTCTATGTCAGGGGTGCTCAAACGGTCGATCGCGATCGACTGGTCGATCGTGAGTGCTTTTTGGGTAGATCTCGAGAAGAAAAAAAAATTTTAATAAGTAGGTAGGTAACTAAACTACTGTCAGCAGAGTTAAACGTTTTTATTAATACTGAACTATACAAATACATAGAATGCTTGACTAAGCATCATTGCAATTCAAAGAAGTGGGGACAACAAAATACTGTCCACACAGCATATTTTATATTTACATATATTAACTAATTATTTTAATAATTCAATATTTATTATAATTATTAATCAAATTTGGGATGATATTCTATCAACTACAAAAATGTATTACGTAATAAAATAACACTGCTTGCGGCAAAAGGTGGCTTTATCAAAGAAACGCGCGGCATTTGTCAAAGAAAAGCCGTGTTGTTTCTAGACGAGAGACAGTACAGTCTAGTTTCGGGCGGCGCGTTTGACGGGAACATTCGAGACTTTCGTTCACGTCGATATAAATGTTGCGCCTGCAGGAATTGGAGTTATTCTGAATTGTAACTTGATAGCGATCCTACGTCGATAAAAGGTTTATTATTAAATAGTGGAAAATGAGTGCTGTGAGGAAATCGAAAACGTATGATTTTAATAAGGATTGAGAGGAAGAATTTTTCTTTTCTATGGTAAAGGATAAGTGCATTTGTGTTATTTGTCGTGCGTCAGTTGCAATACCTAAGCGTGGTAACTTAGAGAGGCATCATAAAACGGTTCATAAAAACTATGAAAAGGATTTTCCGCCACAGAGTGAATTAAGAAAACGAAAAGTAAGTGATTTGATATCTTGTTTGAAAAAAGAACAATCCATGTTCACAAGACCAGCCAAACAATCAAAAGCTGCTACTGTCGCGTCATTTAAAATATCTCATATTTTGGCGAAACACAAGAAACCATTTGAAGATGGATCGGTGGTAAAGGAAGCATTTATTGAAGCGGGTGAGACTTTATTTGGAGATTTTAAAAATAAAACAGAAATCATGTCTGCTATTAGAGAACTTCAGTTATCTCGTCCGACTGTCACAAGGCGTATTGAAGTTATAAGTCAAGACATCGCAGATAAACTAAAACATGATATCATGGAATGTACATACTTTTCTTTACAGTTCGACGAATCCATCGATATGACAGACACTGCCCAGCTGTGTATTTTTATTCGGATGGTATTCAATGACATGTTGGCTAAGGAAGAATTTTTGAGAATCATTCCTCTGAAGGGGAAGACCCGTTGCGAAGATATATATGACGTTTTCTTAAATTTTGTAAAAAAGTACGAGCTACCAATATATAAATTAATGTGCATTACAACCGATGGATGGAGCACCAGCAATGACTGGAAACAAAAACGGTTTTGTGGCATTGTGTCGAGCTAATGAAGAATTCCCTTCATTTTTTTCATTCCATTGCATTATACATCAACAAGTTTTGTGTTCAAAAGTTTTAAACACGGAGGAAATTATGGGCATTGCAATAAAAATTGTGAATTCCATCCGTGCACGTAGCTTGCAACGGCAGCTCTTTCAGTTGCAGTTGGAAGATAGGGAGTCAGCTGAACACACTGATTTAGTTCTTCACACGGACGTCAGGTGGTTGAGTGGCGGCAAATTCCTAGAAAGGTTTCAAGAATTGGTGATGACACTCGGATTTTGAAAAACGAAAAAATTGCTAAATGATTTGGCATTTTTGACTGACATCACAATGCACTTAAACACCGTTAACTTGGAGCTTCAAGGTAAAGGAAAAACTATTATTGAGATGATTAGCGCAGTAAACGCATTCAAAAGTAAATTGAAACTTATGATAGATCAACTGAAAAGAAAGGATCTGAAATTATGATACGTATGAGGCTGAATTATCAAATATTTTGGGACAATTCGAAATGCGTTTTTATGATTGCAGTAAATTGGAAAATGTAGCATGATTTATGAGTTATCCTTTTTTCATGTAAAAACATTGAGAAATTAGCTACTGAAATAGCAATTCAGTTTAATATGAACTCATGTTCTGTTGAAAATGAGTAACCCAAACCTTGACTAAAATAATGTACCTATATTGTGCAGAAAGCTAATATCTATATATGCTACGGTACGCCCTACCTAGGTAGGTAGGGTGTATCGTGTATGTACGACAACCCTGCATCACACACACTTGCAGTGTCTCAGAGTCGATCGTAAGTAGTCTAAAAATATTGAGGTATATCGCCAGCAGTTCAAATTTGAGCACCCCTGCTCTATGTCATCTATTGTATTTTAGAGAACTAATGAAGCTTTAGAAATATAAAGCGAAACGTCTTTGATAAACTTATGGAGTAGTTGACTTCTTTTTTTATTTTGCCAACCTGAATGACCGATTAAACCTCTGAATTCACTAGTTGAATACTTTATTATATATATATATATATATATATATATATATATATATATTATATATATATATATATATATAGATATATATATATATATATATAGTCATATATTCATAGAATTCAATAAAAATAATAATTTGGTGAATTTATAGAAACCGAGTTCGACAAAGAATGGAGTCGTTTTTTAATGCGAACGTGCAGTTATTTACAGCTTCCGATAAACATGAATGGAAACCGAGCTACCAATTTATAAGAAAATGTCATTACTCAGTTATTTCATTTTTCAATAAGGCCATATAATTCGATTTAGGCATTGTAAATACTTTGGTTTTTATTGTAATAACCACTTTCATGGTATAATGTTCTGTATGATGAAGTTTCTGGCTGCCATACTATCTGTGTTTGGAACTTTAATAGGAAATGAATAAAATGAATAGTTGTTTATTGGCTCGTGTACTGAACTTGGTTGCATTTTTAAAAATTAGTTGTTGGGTTTATCATCGTTAGCTTTATCAATACATTTCCTCGATGTCAACATGTACAGAGTAAAGCATTAACTCTTTTTTATAATTACGATAAAATCTTAATTATATATAACAAAAAACGTTTACACGAAATAGTTAATCGTTATATATTTAAATAAATGAGGTCAATGTCTGTATTCGACGCATTTTTCAAATCGAAATCGATACTGATCCTTTTACGAAGCGTACTTTCTAATAGCACACCAGGACCAACAAAACTCACTTCGAACAAAACCGTCTCGACCAATTGTTTTTTCCTGTAAAGAACATTAATAATAACATTAATCATACTTACCGATTAAAGCTTATGCAATACGACGACAGGGTCGAACTATGGAGGCGATCCAGTCAACAACACGAAGCTGACGTTGTTTTTAAAACTTATCTATTATAATTTTTTATATTTTCATAATTTCTCATTTAGGTATATATATATATATATATATATATATATATTATATATATATATACACATTCAAGATGATATTGATAAAACCCCATTTTTGTTAAAAAATTACGATTTATTATACAATTATGGCGATTTAAACAAAAATGATGGAGTTATTATTTACATTAAATCTTCTATAAAATATGAATATTCAGTTGTACCATTGGGGAACATCAAGTTACTTGAAGTCATTTTAAATTATAATAAAACAAAAATCTGTTTGAGCGCTATCTATAAATCACCGATAGTAAACATAAACAATTTTAATCAGGATTTGCATCAATACCTCATAAGTAAAAAACGAATGTGTTTTCATATATTAGTTGGCGATATCAATATTAATTTGTTTGAGGATCTAGATCACACTGAAGAATACCAGAATATTCTAGCTTCACAAATTTTTTTGTCTTATATAAATAAAACAACTAGACCTAGAAGTCAAACTTGTATAGACCATTTCTTTATAAAAAGACCTGCTAATTACACTAATATAACTTCATTTATATTTGAAAATAATACTACTTCAGATCATTATCCAATCGCAGTTTCCATTCCTAATCTAACCAAAACCAAAGAAAACAAAATAATAATAAAGAAGTACATCAACTACAAAAATCTAAAAAACAATTTGAAGCAGGAAAAGTGGTTGGATATTTACAATAAAACAAATAAAAATGAAGCGGTAAAACTTTTCATTGACAAAATTTTTAACTTAATAAACAAAAATACAATTATTTTAAAAGGAAATGATCTAAAAACCACTTTTAAAAAAGATTGGATGACAGGGGGACTTTTAAAGTCTGTACAGGAAAAACACAGATTGTATGATCAGCTAATCCAAGATCCCTCAGATAACTTAAAAAAACAACGTTATACAGAATATAAAAATAAATTAAGACACTTAGTTAAAACTGCAAAAAGAAATTATACAAAACAACGAATTGAAAAAAATAAGACCTCTTCTTCATCACTTTGGAATGTAATTAATTCATTGTGTGGAAAAATAAAAGGAAATACAAAAATTGAATCGATTAAAACCAAAACAGGAGAAAAAATAATTGACAGAAAAGAAATTGCAAATGAATTTAATACACATTACAGTACATTGGGACAAAGGTATGCACAAAAAATACCCATTTGTAATGAACAGATTGAGGACATAGATAGGATAGAAAGCAGCATGTACTTGTATCTCGTTGACCAAAAAGAAGTGGTAAATGCAATACAATCTTTAAAACACAAAAAATCTCCTGGCTGGGATGGGATCAAGACAGAAACCATCAAACAAATTAAGGAAGAAATTATTACTCCTTTAACTTTTCTCATTAATGCATGTTTTCAGGATGGTTGTTTTCCAGAATGTCTAAAAATAGGCAAAATCAAACCTCTGTTTAAAAAAGGAAATAAAGAAGACGTGATTAATTACAGACCAGTATCTTTGTTGTCTGTTTTTTCCAAAATATTTGAAAAAATTTTAAAAAATAGATTAGTGAGTTTTTTGGATAGGTTTAGTGTAATATCGGATTGTCAATACGGTTTTAGAGAAAGAAAATCTACACAAGATGCTATTTGTAAACTAACATCACAAATATCAGAAGCTTTTGAGTCTAATAAACGTAGTTTATGCATATTTGTCGATCTCTCTAAGGCGTTTGACACGATATCTCACGGGATCTTGTTAGAGAAACTTGAGAAGTATGGTCTGAGAGGACGCGTTTTGACATTACTAAAAAGTTACTTAACAGACAGAAAACAATTTGTAGAAATTGATGGTGTCGAAAGTGATCCTGAAGTAATTAATTATGGCGTACCGCAAGGGACCGTTTTAGGCCCTCTACTCTTTACACTCTATGTTAATGACATGCTTAAACTAAAAACTGATGGAAACATAATAAGCTTTGCTGATGACACCGCAATTTTTTATAAGGCCGAAAATTGGGAAGATCTTAAGACTATAGTTGAACAAGACTTCAAAGTTATAAAAACATGGTTGCAAATAAATAAACTCACAATAAATTACGAAAAAACTAAATATATACCTTTTGCAATATATAAAAATTCTCTGCCAACTTTTAACTCATTAAAAATAAATAAAAAACAACAAATATTTAAAGCAGAATACATAAAATATTTAGGAGTTTTAATTGACAGGCACCTTAAATGGGACTTACAAATAAAAAATATTATAAGAAAAATAAGAGGACTGTTACCAAAATTCCGCTATTTAAAAGAGTTTTTAGATGTTGAACAGCTTAAAATGCTTTACCTGTCTTTAGTACAATCTCATCTTGTATATGGGATTTTAGGATGGGGTGGCGTAGCTGATTGCCATCTGGTGACCCTTCAAAATACTCAGAAATGGTTTCTTAAACTAATATATGGAAAACGAAAAACATATCCCTCAGACCAACTTTTTCATGAAACTCAGGTTCTTGATGTTCGGCAATTGTACTGCCTAGAGCTACTTAAAAATATTCATAAAGATAAAATACCTCTTAAAGTAAAAGTGTCAAATTATGAAACAAGAAGAAAATTGAATGTTGAATGTCTTCATACTTCAAAAACAATCACGCAACGGTCAATTAAATATTTTGCTCCAAGAATATACAATCAATTGCCCATAAATTTTAAAAATATCAAAAATTTTTATTTGTATAAAAAATTAGTTAATGCTTGGGTAAAAGAAAAAAGGGAGTTGTGTAACAATTTAATAAATTTAAATTATACTAGATAAAAAAAAACGAAACAAATTAGATTAGATTAGAAACTGTAAAAATGAAATAATAATTTGTAAAAAAAACATTAAACTTGTTAATATTAGACAGCTTAAGTCAACAAGCATGTTAATGCTTTAAAGACTTTTTTTTACGTTTATGTTACTGTAAGTAAACTGAAATTGAAATTGTAAATTAATGTAATACTTATGGATTTGAATAAACGTATATTATTATTATTATTATATATCACTTGCCTAGATTCAAAACCCGACAAGTCACAATTTTTTTTTCAAAACCTTTTTTATTAGATATAAGAATTTGAAATACATAATCCAAATGTATTATGGACATAAGTCCATAATACATTTATCAAGCAAATCCCGACATATCCGATAATTATAGGCTCCCAAAAATGTACCTTAGATGCAAATACCGATAGGTCCATTCTCGTTTTAAATGCAAAAGCCGACACTTCCAATCCGATAATAGACGAGTAGTATTTTACTCGCCACCTGATTTCGGCTGACAACGTGTTAGCCAAGCAGATCAGTTTAGTTTATGCTTTAAAGTAAGTTGTTTGCAGTGTTGGACAGTTTATTAATGAAAAACAGTGTGATGTGACAAAGGCTCGAAAAAGAGCAAAGGTCGAAACAAGAAGAGAAAAGGCAAAACTTGTAAGGTATAACCTATAATATTACAATAAATTAGTACATTATTTGTGATGAAATAATTATTTTTAGGTATGCTGCCAAAACATTACCTGTGTACCCTACTTTTGGCCAAAAGGGAAAGCCATATCAACCATTTCAATGTACATCTCATCTGTCCATGAACGATGTAAGAGACTTTCATTCAGCTTTTTATCAAAATAAGGATAAAAGGGGACAATACATGTTCATTTTACGCCACGTTGACTCACATATCCCGGTAAGACAAAGGAAACGAACAACCAACAAAAATAAACCAAAATCTTGTATTTTATCCTACAAATTGAAGAGAAGTGACAGCCTAATTGTTCCTGTATGTCGAACAGCTTTCCAAGGTATTCTGGGAATTAAAAAAGATAGAATTTTAAACATAATGAAAAACTACAAGAAGCATTCGCTTATTCATACCGAAAGAAGGGGCGGAGATCGAATTGGACAAAAAAACGAAGGTAAAAAATAATCTATAAAAAAATTCATCGAGTCCCTAAAATGTACGGAATCTCATTATTGCCGTTCAAAACATTTTCAACAACAGAATTTATTTACCTGCTGAATTAAGTATCTCAAAATTTAGGAGAATATACAACGGCCAATGCTTTTTACATGCATTCATTTTTTTCGAATCCTGAGAAAACTAACAAATATTTTTGAAAAATTTAAACGCAAAATGAAAGATTACATTATTACCGAGGGCCGAAAGTCCCTTAGAATAAACAAAAAGATTTTTTGAATGAGATATTTGAAATAATCAGAATAAAAATTCCACGGTCATCACCATGCTGAGCTATTGGCTTCAGTTTGAAGATCCAAGACAAATAAAGGAAATTGAGATAACGTTTCCCGTTGTGGGGCATTCTTATATTCCCCCTGACCGTGTGGTTGGACAAATTGAAAGAATTTATAAAAAACACACGGTAATTGTTCATCCTGATGAATAGGTAAAGTTAATCAAAAAGTTTGCCACTGTTTACAGAGTTGGAACTGGTGTGGCAATTAAGGACTGGATGGCTGAAACTCAAAAAGTAATAAAGCAACCAGGCTATTGGCATTTTAAGTTCCAACCGTCAAAAAGAGTAATAATTACAAGAGAACAAACAGTACCAGTTATAAGAGGTGAGGCATTTTACAAAACTGACTTATGCGCACCCAAAAGCTTATGCAAAATAGGGAAAAAAGTCTCACAAATTAGTCCAAGAACACTGAAGGCTGGGATAGCGATTAAAGAAGATGAGAAAAAAAGTATTACTAAGCTATTGGAGAAACACTACGGAAAGGAATGGCAAGATAGAGATGAACTGTTTTTTTTTTTCAAAGAAGTATTCCACGAAGCTATAGAGGAGGGACAAGGAAGTGAGGCAAACGAAGAGGAAGATAATTGCGAAGCAGAAACAGTTAGCT